GATAATTTCTAATGTGACTATTGATTTAAAGGAAATCATTCTCGCAACAGCAAGTTGTGTTAAGGCACCATAATTTCGTCACTAACAACATGATTGTGGTAAGAAATTTTTTACACATTTGTTGTCCCGATGATCAATTGCAATGGATTAGTCATATAAAAAGTGGCTTCTGCAGAATACTGAATACATTGCAACAATCATGATGTTGCAATGACAACAATCATGACACATTGCAGCAATTTAAAAACATAGTTTAAAAAAAAGTAGTAGAAAATAACGCGTAATATAAGTAGATTATTTCTAATGTGACTATCGATTTAAAGGAAATCGTTCTCGCAACAGCCCGTTGTGTTAAGGCATCACAATTTCGTCACCAACATGATTGTGGTAATGTGGTCAACACTACGCACAGGCCGCCTTTACTTCCCAGACAAGCTCGTACTAATCGATCTGAGGCTAGGTGGGCGCCGTCAAAGAGGATCGAACTCCAGTTCTTCGCAATGGCAGTTCTGTTAGCCGTGGTGGCACAGAGGATACAGAGATATCACCTTCCAATGAGGTGAACCAGGTTCGAATCCCATCCATGGCTGGTTGATAAAAAATTCCGAACCCAACTGGCGCCAACCATAGTGCTGACGTAAAATATCCTAAGTGGTAGACGGATCATGGGTCAGAGTCTTCTTGCTGTCAGGCAAACCATGGGAGGTTTTCCTTTCCATGTAATGCAAATGCGGGTGAGTTCCATCAAAAAGTCCTCCACAAAGGCAAATCTCTGCCAATACTTGATCCAGGAGTTCCCTTGTCTTCTGAATTGGGTTCAAAATTTCAAGGCTACGGAGTTGATCCTCAGTAGTCGTAAACCCGAAATTGTTGGCTGTTCAATGACAATTATTTAAAAAAAGAAATGACAGTTCAGTGCCATAACCACTAAGTTATAATGACTTGATTATCACTTAAAATATAGCAATCACACAATTTCTGATCAATACATAATTACTTATGTTGTTACTATATTTTTGTGATAAAAGATATATATAAAAGCTTTCGTTTCACCAAAATAATTTTTTTTAAATAACTGAATTACTACTTTTCTTTTTTTAAATCTATGAAGAGAACAAAAGTCTTGCAGATTAATGAGGTAAAAAACTCAGGACTGCTTATTCCCCAGAGAAAAAGCTGATAGTAAGACCAATGAATAACTACACTGGTGGACAAAATTAAGACAACATCAGAATTGGACACAGCTTCAATGGGCTAATGTTCTCTTCATCGATGAGTCCAGATTCAGTCTACAGCCTGATTCTGGATGATTATTGATATGGAGGGAACCTGGAACCCGATACCATCCCAGCAACATTATCGAAAGGGACCATTATGTTGGTGGAGGACTCATGGTTTAGGCAAGGATCATGCAAGATACCCGCACACCTCTCCATGTGTTTGACAATGGTTCTGTGAATGCCCAGAGGTACAGGCAGGTCCTAGAGCCCTATGTGCGTCTTTTCAGGGGCGCTGTTGGCCCTGATTTCATTTTTATGGACGACAACAAATGGTTCTCATGGTTGATGAGTATCTGGAAAGCGAGGATATTCAAATAATGGATTGGCCAGCTAAATCCCCTGACCTGAATCCTATTGAACATGCTTGGGATGCTCTTGGGAGAGCTATTGCGACGCGCCAACCTCCCCCAGAACCATTCTGGAGTTAAAGATTGCTCTGGTGGAAGAATGAGAGGATCTCCCACAAGTGATCCTTAACTCCCTTATTAACAGCATGCATACTCGTTGCGCATGCTGTCTGTCTGTCAGGGGTGACCATACACCATACTAGATGCAACACACACTGTACAAGCCTCGCTTTTATTGTCATCTTTTATCCTTAAGTTCAGACTACATTGGATTTATTGGCAATAGGTCTTGCCAGTGAATGGCACTTTCACTTTTGTTTTGCATACTTTATTATCATGGAATAAGCTATATCCATACCAAATTTCATTTATTTATATTCAGTATTTTTTGAGATATTTGGGAAAATGTCTTCCATCTCTCAATTTTGTCCACCAGTGTAGCTTGCTTTATGACAAAAAGAATCATGGCTACCAAGACTTAAAAGTTGAACTACATATATAAATACCAGACCATTTCCTTTACTAGAAAATAGCTGTTAATACGTCTTGGAAACCAGATAGATTTAATCCAGGCTAAAACAAGCTAGAAATGAAATAATTTTACTAACAGTTTTTTCTCTTTTCTAAGGTACAAACAGCATTGGAGCTTACATCCACTTTTTTAACCCTTACAAAAACCTTGAATGAATAAGTTTATTTTACTACTAGAAAGAAAAGTTTTTCGCAAAATTTATAAAAATTGAAAGATAAGAGCAATGTCACCATTTTAGATAAATCACAAAGCATCCTGAAAAAATAACCTCATGGGGAAAATATTTTAGCTCTACCATCTTCATTAATGTCCATATTTATTATTTCCAAAACGTAAGACAGGCAAATCAAAATTGCTTACTCATAATTTGAGTTGTAGAGATAGTTATGCAAGTTTCCCCTATGTGTATTAATTATATAGATTAATAATATATATATATATATATTAATAATATATATGTATTAATACATAATATAAATATTAATAACATATATATTAATAATATAAATATCAATAGTTAGAAAAAAATTTATTTCATAACACGGGCAAATGTGTGTGAGGGTGTGCAATTGCCGATTAGCCACGGTGAAAGATTTATTCATATATTTTCGTTGATTAAAAAAATTCATGTATGAAGTTGATAGGATTGAATATGCTTTAATCTCAAAAGTATGATTTTTTTTCTCCCCTAAATGAAAGTAAAAAGAAAGCTAACACTAAAAACTATCAAAGTTTTTTATAAGAAAAAACTGTAAAAAAAAATAAAGAAAAGTTTAAACAAGAAAAAAAAATAACAATGGGGTTATCAACAATTTTTTTATTATAATTACAACACATTTTTTATGAAATAACACACAATGATAAGTTCAAACACTATGTACATATATTTATCACACATTCCCATAATATGAACACTTTTTTCACTCTCAGTGGCTAAATGCTGGAATTTTGACTATTTTGATCTTAAAAATATGTTTCTGAAAAAAGTAAAAATGAAATGCATTTACAAAATACAGTACCGCTCAAAAGTATCAGCACACCTAGAAACTTATAAAAAAAATGGCAAAATTCAAAGTGTCATAACTTCTTTAAAAATGATTAAAAATGCTTCTGCTTAAGCTCATTTTGAAGCTTAAAATCTCTACTTTTATGCACTCTAATTGTTTTTAATTAATATATTTTGCAACTATGTACAATTACACTCTAAACAATCATAAATTGTATTAATTTTTTGTGAAGTTTGACGCGATGTACGGGCACAAAGGGGTTAGATATTGATAATTTTTATTATACCATTGAAATATTTGGACTTTTAGCTTTCATTTAAAAAAAAAATTCCAAAAAAACATGTTTTTTGACGAAGTTATTGTCAAATAAAAAGAAGGTTTTTCTTCAGAATTTAATGATTTTTCAGCAATTATAATGAATTTTAGTGTAATTATAATATGATGTGAAAAATTTTTAATTAAAATAAATTAAAATTTAATATTTCTCGATAATATTATTTCATAATTTATTATAACAATTTTAACTTTTTTGGGGGGAAATATAATAATGAAATAAGAATCAACGTTTACAATTTAATATTTTGAAATTTATTTTTTCTGAGAAAAGTACGAAAAAATAAATTTCAAAATATTAAATTGCAAACGTTGATTCTTATTTCATTATTATATTTTCCAAAAAAAAAAGTTTAAATTGTTATAATGAATAATGAAATAATATTATCGAGAAATATTAAATTTTAATTTATTTTAATTAAAAAATGTTCATATATTATAATTACACTAAAATTCTTTATAATTGCTGTAAAATCATTAAATTCTGAAGAAAAAAAAACCTTTTTTTAATTTGACAATAACTTCGTCAAAAAACATGTTTTTTTGGAATTTTTTTCTTTTAAATGAAAGTTAAAAGTCCAAATTTTTCAATGATATAATAAAAATTAACAATATCTAACCCCTTTGTGCCCGTACATCGCGTCAAACTTCACAAAAAATTAATACAATTTTCCATGATTGTTTAGAGTGTAATTGTACAAAGTTGCAAAATATATTAATTAAAAACAATTAGAGTACATAAAAGTAGAGATTTTAAGCTTCAAAATTAGCTAAAGCAGAAGCATTTTTGATCATTTTTAAAGAAGTTATGACACTTTCAATTTTGCCATTTTTTTATAAGTTTCTAGGTGTACTGATACTTTTGAGCGGTACTGTATGAGATAAACTGGTCTTGGAAAAAAAAAGGAAAACTTTTTGAAATAATATACACTATATTTATATAAATAGTAATAAACTTGTCTAAACTTTTTTTTCACTACAGTTTATGCTAATTTAACTAATCTTATAAAAAAAATGTGCCATTAAACAAAAGACTTGTCCAATTTGTTTCTGATAAAAATAAAATGAAATTTTTAAATAACAACAAATAGTGAGGGAGAAGGTAACGGCAGAATTAAGAAACTTTAACAGTCTAATTCAAATGTTTTCAACTAGTAGAGAAATATTTAACAAAAAAATTATTTTATCCTATTTTAGCATATAATTTATCAAAACATAAGACTATGATTACAACAGTTAGCTTGTAAAGGATAATCTTCTAAAGTTATAAGTTTTTTCAGTATTATAACCTAGTTATAATTTAGTAGTATATTTGATAAGAACAAGAGTAAATAAAATAATGTCAAGGGGAAAATGTGATTTTTTCCTGATGCAATAATACAAACAAAAATATATTCCTACTACCAATTAATAATTCTCATCTTTTTTTAAATTTTCAGAAATTAAAATTAGATTTAACAGAAGTTCTTTTCTTTAAAAACAAAAATGTGTCTATTTAGAAATTTTTCAAAATTAATTTCAAATTTATAGAAGATAAAATTTAATTGCATTTTGTTGTATTTAATTTTAAAGTGGAATTAAGGTTTCTCAAAAAAAATCAATACAAAAGCTTGAAACTGTAATATTGCAAAGTATATTGTAATAATATCCAAAAGCATTACAAAGGTTTTTTTCCGCATATAATTCTATAAATTACAACATGCACTATTAAATACTATTAAATAGCTAAAAATACAAAAACACACTCCAGAGTTTCTTTAAATCTAGACTAATAATTTATTCAAAGTAGTTTACTTTTAAATTTAAAAAAAAAAAAAAAAACATTTTTTTAAATTTAAAACATTTTAAATTTAAAACATGAAAACTAAAAAGTATGAAATGAGATGTTTCACTGATATATAAGGCACATGACTAGGAAAAGACTGCCTCCTTAATTATAAAACTAAGCAATTTTTTTTCCTGTAGAAGGACTTTAAAACCTAAAATACAGCAAAAAGTTTTCATGACAAATGCTTTAAATTATTTCAATTTGGTAAAATATATCGGAAAAATAATTTCAAATAGGAAAAAAAAAAAGTTTTTAAAAAGGAAATTCTATTTTTTAGCAAATGAGATATTAATAGAATGAGTTGGTGACAATTTGTAACCCTGAAGGGCATTTTTAGCACATTCAGCTGAGGCCACATCATCAAATTCAACGAAGGCAATCTCTTCTCGGCTAGAAACAGTTCTAATTTCTCTAAATCCAGAAAATCTGAAGGAAAAGAAAAATCAAAAAAAAAAATATTAAAAAATTTTCAAATTAATTGGATAAGTAACATAACAAAAATCAATTTTATGCAGCAACTAAGAAAAAAAGGAAGAAAAAAAGAAGCATGAGGCAGTACCAAAATAAATATGAAAATGACAACAGCAAAAGATTTTAAAAAATAACGTAATAAAAATCTTGATATCAAAATGTAGAATGAAATAATAAAGGAAAATTATACCAAGTTAACAACTCCAAAATCTGGCTTAAAAGCCAGATTTTGAAGATCAATTGAATATAAATTAAAGTCAATTCCAAATAAAACGACTGAGCAGCAATTACAGAATGACTATTCATTTGTATGAATCAATAAAATGTATTTAGACAAAATATTTTTCTCTATTTGTAATCTTAAAAACCCAGTATTTACATTAAACATAACAAAATTTAAGTTTAACAAAATTTAAGTTTTCATTCGAAATAAAACCAAACAACTCCTAAGTTGCTGAACTCATCAACCAAAATTAATTGAAAAATTACCCCCCCCCCTTTACATGTCCCCTTAAATTGTGTTTTAAAACACACTGCTTTAATGTCTCTTAAACTAAAGAGCATCATATTTTAGTTAAGTGTTACAGAAAATAAACTTCCCTCGAAAGTTTCATGTTTTGGAAATGTCGGTTTTGCATATCATAAACCTGTATATCAAGACACTCATTTTATGCATACTTTAAGGCTTTAGCTAATAATGGCTTTGTTGACCGCAAATGAAAGGTACACTAGTTGGTTGCTTTTAAAAATACTACTAAAGCAAAAATGAAGTATTGGAACACAAACAGAGTGCGAAGCCAAATATTTCAACAAAAAATAAGCACCTTTTAAGCACTAAAAGAATATTTGTAAGCACTATATACATTAACAAAATGCAAAATAGTCTTCATAGACTTTTCATGATCATAAAATAACTAGTTTCTGACAAAAAAACAATTTTCTTGATTATATTAGCCACCATAAAAATATCGAGAGATTTTTGGGTTCGATTTCTGAGAGGGGGGAATGAAGCCTGAAATTGAGAATATCATGCAAATTGCAGCAGAGTTGCACATGAGAGTGCAAGAAAGTCACCGAACCCAGATAGGTATACGTACATGCGGACCCGCAAGTATTTCATCAAACATGTCAAATGATTGGCACTTTCATACGCTACGGACCGAGGGTATGCCAAAATGCATTGCTTTTTAATGAATCGTGAAGAGGTTGAATAGAACAATGTAAAAATCACGCTTTTGCATAATAAATGGTGAAAATCAACATGGTAAAGAAAAAAAATCTCATTTTCGAAAAGGAAAAATTAAGCACTTTTCAAAAACACCCAATATAAAAAGCACTTTTAAGGAATTTTAAAAAAAGAACAAAAATAAAGACCTTTAAGTACTTTTTAAAAATGCTACACACCATGAAAAATATTAAAAATTATTGACAAAAGTCTACATTTTTGAACATTTCTCAGGGTTGCCACTCAAATCTAAAAATAATGCTTTAGTAAATGAAATAGTTTAATATAACTGAAAATATCATGCTTAAATATCCCATAGACTACGCTTTGAGAGGTAACCATTTTTAAAAGACGAAAATAAGAAACAAAATTCTCTGCATTTTACTAGTTTGTAAAGAAAAACTCAAAATTTCCTTAAATTCTCTTTGTTATTTTAGGTGATTTTTAAACTCCCTGTATTCTCCGGGTTTTCCCTGTTCTTGCTGCAGAGTGGCAACCTTGTTTCTGCAATTAAAGATCCCTTAAAAATTAATAGTAAATGTAATGAAGTAAATAACAAAACTATTTGTCACATATGGCTGACCATCAATATTTTGTGAAATGAAAAATAAATGAATAAATTATAAAATAAATAAATTTATAACGCATTAATCATAAATGTGATAATTTTAATTGCAATGTGAATTAACTGTTATGTTTCTTGATTAGTTTTATTTACTTATTAAAAATATTTTTACTTATTATTATAATAATATTAATAAATGACAATAAAATAGTTTTGGAAAAAACAGTTATGTAAAACTATGATACAAATTCTTAACTATTTACAATAATGTTAAAAATTGAAATATGTATCACCATAAATTTAAAAGTTTTTAATAGCGAAGCAGCAGCCAATACAAAAGGCACCATGACAATCAAGGCAAAGTTACCAAGTTATTTTGGGGACTCTAAATGTCAGAAATACAGGGGTCAAATCTTTCAACCAAAAATATGCACCTTTTAAGTACTTTTTAAGCACTGCATTCATTAACAAAATGCAAAATAATTTTCAAAGACTTTACATGATCATGATAAAATAACTAATTTTTGACAAAGAACTCTTTTCTTGATTATAATAGATAATGATCAAGAGATTTTTCGGTGCGATTTCAGAGGGTGGAAAACGAAGCCTGAAGTTGAGAATATCTTGCAAAATGCAGCAGAGTTCCACACGAGAGTGCAATAATCTCTCCCAACCCAACTTAGTAGACGCAAATGCGGACTAGTAAGTATTTCATCAAACATAAAAAATGACTGGGGCTTTCATACGCTATGGACCAGCGGTAAGCCTAAATGGATTGAGTTTAAATTAATTGTGAAAATGTTGAATAGAACAATATGAAAAGCATGCTTTTGCATAAAAAATGGTGAAAACCAACATGGTAAAGAAAAAAAAATTTGAACCACTTTTTTAAAAACACCCAATGAAAAAGCAACTTCAAGGGCTTTTAAAAAACAAAAATAAGCACCTTTAAAAAATTTTATGCACTTGTCACAATTATATGAAAAATTAAAACTTACCTTCCAAATAAAGTACTCAACAGCATTTCATTTGTATCAGGAGGCAAATTCGTCAAGAAAAGAATGTTATTAGAAGGTGGCTCTACTTGTACTGGAAATACATACATCAGGGGTCTGTTTAGGTTTTTCTGAGAAGTACCTATTTTGTGAAAATTTAGACATAATTTTTTAAAATTAAAAATTATATTAAAAAAGCAACACAAAAATATGGTAAAAATACGGATTTATCGCTTCTTACGGAATACAAAAATAAAGTATTTTGTGAAACTACGGTGTTTTTCCTAAAGCTGAATTTGCGAAGGTACAGCTAAACGATAGTAAATGTGGCCTGGACAGACCTCTGTACATAGATAAGAAACCAAGGAAAATTATTAGCAAAACAGCAAAAAAATAAAATTTTTAAAAAAATCTTAAATCTTTTTAAATATTCAATGAAAATATATTTAATGATATAAATTATATATTGTGAGAAGATTTGAAAAACTATAACTGCACATGGGTAGAAATTAAGAAAATTTAGTCCACAGGACCAGTAACTAACGATATAACAACCATGTTTACATTCAGAGCTCATTCTAGGCAGAAAAAAAAGGGCAGGGTGCAAAAGTTTCAAAAAAGGGCATTATTATTCTAAAAAAGGAATAATTTCTTTCCATGGGCCTTACATGTTCTATTAAAAAACATTGTCAATTAGTAAAAGAAAGAAAAAGAATTTTTAGTTTTCTAAAAGTAGCAAAGCAATCATATTAATTACTAATTTTTATTAATAAATTAATATATATATATTGAGTTAATTAGCTTAGTAATTTATTTAAAATGCATGCATATATTAATAAAATAATAAATGTAGGTTTTTAAGTGTCTGTAGTTATGATTTATTAATTAAAATTATTAATAATTATTATGGTTTAATGATAGTGGAAGTAACTGCAAACTTTCAAAGACAAGTGCAACAAGAGGGTGTGATGGCTATTTTTCCTTTCCTGTATAAATCTATGTATTGACAGCAATGACAAACTAAATAAAAAGAGTTGAAAATAACAAAAATTTAAGAAATCCATTGTAGAGTTTGGGGGGAGGGGAATAAAAGGCTGAGGAAAGAAAGAGCAAAAAGGGTATGGAGTCTATTACATCAGGGCACTAATTTACTTCAGGAGCAACAGGGTGGATTCTTTTGACTAAAAGGGCAGCAGGGTTGGGCCCTGTCTTCAATGCCTAGAATGAGCTCTGTTACATTTTCACTAGTCCATTTACATGCAATATCATATTTTTTTACAAAAAAAGTTTATGTATTTAAATTGTTCAAGAAATACTATGAAATAAACAAATCTAAAGGTAAAATTAAGAAGTTCAAAATTTTAACTGCTCTCCTGTCTCTGTCGAACTATTTATCAGGAATTTTTTGTCCCTTTCTTATTTAAAAATTTGTTGCTTTAAAATGTGTTTCTTATTTTAATTTGTAGTATTCTCATCCATAATTAGTTTTAGACTTAATTCATATTAATGAATTCAAATGTATTTATATTTCCAACATAACTAATTTTAAATCCATATCCAAATTAATTTGATTTAAATTTAAGCTATAAAACTACATACATCTTTTTACACTTTACGTTTTTTTTCTTTTTCAGCCTCAGGCTTTCTTCAATTTCTTAAGGCTTTAAACCAATTTGACACTTTTCTTGTCCAAGAGACTTCCTATAAACTCCCATATCACTATAAGCGCCATACAATTAATTCAATAATATATAGGATATAAAAAGTCGTACTAAAGAGCGGAAGAGGTGGGGGAATCTAAACCAATTTAAGAATATATAGGATATAAAATGTCTTACTGGAGAGCGGAAGAGGTGGTGGAATCGAAACTAAGTGCTGATTTGGAGCTGGAAGATTAATATTTGAAGACTTGTTTGTTGCTTGATGTGATGGTTGAAGGGCATTATTCGGACTATCTGGATTATGGACAAAGCTTTTTTCCTTAATGCTGGCTTCCTTTTTATTAATTCTATAAGTAGTAGTAGTTTTTTCCCTTTTAATGTAGGTTCCTTTGATCTTGGCTATGCAATCAGAGTCAGTTTTAGCCAACTGTATCTTCTACCAAAATAACTTCAGATTAATAACACCATTAGCATAGCACTTCCAGGTTAAAGGAGCTCCTAACACAGTAGCAACAGATGCGATTTTAATATACTATTATGATAATCCCTGTGGCAGAATATTAGAGTTCTTGCAGAAAGATTTTTCTTTTGAAAAGTATTAAAAAATTTACTTTTTATTCCTACAGAAATTTACATGTAATATTTAAATCATGCATTTAGATGAACACATTTTTATGCCCTCAATTTATGCAGATATCTAGTATCATAAATCGATGCAATGTTTCGATTGTATTTTCGGCAGTTACTGATTTTCACATGGATTTTAAATATTCTGATACATTTCAAACAATATGGAAAATTCCAATCGTGCATTGAGTATTTACTTTTTAATGCAATATTTCTATTGAATTTTTGGCAGTTATTACTGTTGATTTTCACATAGTTGTTAAACTTTATTTTTTTAAAAATACGATATTATATATTACAACAATCTAGTCTTGAAACTAAACACGCATTTGATGAAACCGATTCGCGTGATTTCGTCATTGCTTTTCGTTTTTCTGCAATTATTGCTACGGACTTAATAATTTTTAATTATTTTTTTATTGTGATAATTATTTACAAAATGTGAAGAAGGAAATAATATCACACATAATATTGGAATAAAAAATTCTTACGTGTTCAATTAAAAACAAATATATATAATTTTGTTAACACAGCGCTTGTTATTTTAAATTAGTAACACATATGTTATTATTAAAAGTATGTTGCAGAAAGATATTAGTGCTAGAGAATTCTGCCACAGGAATGATAACTAAATATCTGTTATGAAATCATACCATTTATTAATAAATAATTATAAACTTTAATTTATTTAATGTCATATTTCTTCTAGCTTCATCAATTGAGCAGCTAAAGTTTGAAATTGAAACAAACAATTTTGGAACTGCTTACTGCTATAGTTTGCACAATATTTAGGAGCTCCAGTAACATAGAAGTAACATAATATTTAATTAAATATTAAAAGAAAATTACAACAAACGAAACAACATTTATTAGGGATATAAATGTACTTAATTTCACCCTGATTTGAATAACTACAAAAAAAAATCTAATAATTTTTTAAATTTCCATAATAAAAGTTGTTGTGTTATGCACTCAAGTTACAGTTCACCTGAAAGGGACCTATGGTCAACACCACCATGCCATAGATTTCTATGAAAATTTTTACTAAAAACGTAAAATGCTGAAAAAAGACTAAAATAATTTTTCAAGACTATTTACGAACGAATTTTGGTGTTAATAAAGAGGAAAATGTGAGAACTAAGTAATGTGTAACTATTAAAATGCCGCAAATATGTGTACATAATAATATAAACATAAGTTTTTATATGTTTGTATTAAAATAAATTTCAAGGGAATTTTTTCTGCAAATTTCAAGAACTTTTTACAGTGTTCAACATCTCAACAAACATCAACAAGTGAACAGCATTGCAGGTACAAAGAACAGCATTTTTTGTAATTTAGAACAACAATCGACATGGCGAAGAAAAAATCTATTTCTAGAAGATAGAAAATTAAGCACTTTTTACAAACCCTGAAATAAAAACCACCTTTAAGGGCTTCTAAAAAAATGTAAATCAAAAATAAGCATCTTTAAGCACTTCTTAAAAATGCTACACATCCTGTTAATAAAACAAATAAAAGGGCACAATTTAAAAGAAAGGACTATTTCCAAAATATTTCAAGATTATTGAAGTTAAATAATATGATTCCTTTTTTTTTTCAATTTTAATACTTTCTTAGTTTTTTAGGTCTAAATTGACTTGCTGTAACGTCTAAACTAAGAGAACTAAACTCATTAGCTTTAGGCCTTTAAGTCATTCCTTAAAAGAACAAAGTTATTATTCATTAAAAAGAAGAGTAATAGTAACAGCATCCAGTGAAAGTAGTTCATTTTGAAAATATGCCCAGGACATTTGCTTTTTACCAATTTTGTTGCATAGCACTAGATGTAATTGTGCTCCTAAGGTTGGGTACTAACATTCTCATTCATACATAAGGACTAGCATAAGCAATATATTTCCTCTAAATAGATTGTAATGCTTAATCAGAAAAAAAAAGTAATTTAAAAGTAGAATGAAAGAAAGTTACCAAAGGTTTATCGAAGAATGGGAATCCTTGCATTGAACGCAATGCATCAATAGCACCTTTTTTCTCTTTGAAGGCCACAAATGCTTGTCCACGCATTTTTAAATTCTTTGATGCAAAAATATCAACTATATTACCAAATTGAGCAAAAACAGCTTGAAGGGCTCTCTTTAGATCTAAAAAATTAAAAACTTTTCAGCAAAAAATACTCACTTGATTATATAATAAGAAGAAGAAACTGCAGAGTAACAAGATAAATAAAAAAGCTCTTACCAAGAATTATAATAATAGCTTTACACACATGTTTTTTTTTTTAGTCCATTTATTAAAAACAGTGCAATAGAATAAAATGCACTTACCTTTTAAAATTAGCACAGTCATTAGAGAACTTAGAAATCAAAACATGCTAATGTATATTTCCTGATAAAATTTCGAAGAAGTAAAATTCTTAAGATTTCATAAAATTTCAATGCAAGGTAAGAAATTTCAATCGCCCTCTCGCCATTGACGATCAAATATTTATAAATGAGTAGGTTTCATCTTTTAAATTATTGAATTTTAAACATTGATATAACTACATTAACTAAACTTATCTAACTACATAGATTATTGTGTCTCAATCTATAATGGTACACAGAAATGCTTAGAAGTCAAGCAATGGCATCTTTCTTCTACTTGGAACAAAAAATTTTGAGTTACCCACTTTTCACTCATAAAACCATTGCTTTTGAAACATTGTAACCTTATGACAACCTTATTTTGATTTATTATTACTCTTGCAATAAATATGTATGAATTAAGTTCTTCATTCTCTTATGGTTTAGGTCGATGAAAAGTTCAACATACTACATCTGTTAAAAAATTTCACGAAAATTAAAGTGTGGAGGTGAATTTTAGCCGGGATAGTGTCTCAAATATTGAAGGACTCTGTTCTAATGTTAAATAAAATACAGCCTTTCATATCTTAAAAGGCTAGAATCTCTTCAAAAAAATAAATAAAACAGTATCCCTCTCTATATTTTGGAGTATTGGAGTTATTATAAAATATTCAAGTTTTTCTTCTTACTTACTTGGAAAGTTTATTCAAAGACTCACATATTTGACTCAAAAATTCTATGGCATAATATAATGGAAATAATTACAGCCGAACCTTGATCCATATTTATTGCTTGTATCGCCTTGTTTTAAAGGTTCAATCACAAATGCTATTTCTATAATGCTACTAATAACCGTTTAGATCGGTTTTTAAACTAGCAGATTATCACGTTTGTTGTTCAAAATATCTATGAACATTTAAAAATACTGAAATTATTTTGTAATGAGAAGTCTGTCCTGATGCTCAAATGAAGAATCAAATTAAGATTTGTTACTGTAGGGGGTTAACATCTTAAACAGTAATACAATATTTACATTTCAGTCTATAGATGAATGATTTTATTTATTTTAATTTTCCTTATTATTAATTTATAAAAGATATGACATTTTACTAATTTTTCATTTAAAAAGATTATTTCTTATAAAAATTTAGACCAAAATTTAATAAACACAAAGCTCTTCTGTTATTATAAATTGGTTGCATAAATATTTATATTATAATTTTAGTGTGGCAACGTTTGTCGCAGAAAGACAAAAAAAAATCTGCCACAGGGTTCAAGTCATCATTTATTATTTTACGTTGACACGCATTCGTTGCTTCTCGGTATCTATTGTTTGCAATAAATAGTCCTTTGAAAAAGGATCAAGGCTCTACTATACATAAAAAAGCTAAAAAATTAAAATAATAAAAAAACACACATCAAGAAAAAAACAAATGTTCATAATAGTTTATTTCATGTGCAGTTTTAATGTTGCTATTGGATCCATGACTAAATCTTTGTGTCATGCAAAAACATACTTACTTACTGATAATTGTAAATCTTCCTAAGTATGACAGTAATTACTATTTAAATTGCAAATATGATGTGCTGACAAAAATTTTGAAAAGAAATTTTTTTAAAAAGTTCCTACCAATAAAAAGTTTGCTAGGTAAATAAACAAGGAAATCCTTTAGCAGATCTCAACCAACACCAATAGCTATAAAAATAAAAAATACATAAGAATAAATGCAATTTTATTTCTATTTTTTTATTATCAAAAGGGGTGCACAACTTTTTTATGGAAAGGCCATACGAGGAAATAAATTGGCTTGCAAGAATTACAGTAAATAAATATAGTTTTTATATCAATAAACAATAACTTGAGTAATTATCCCTTAGCTTAACAAGAAAAATAGCAATTTGTCTTGATTTAAAAGACTACTTGTACATACTTACAAAAGTAAAGTTTGTCATATATAAGAAAAATTAGTTTTGCACTTATTACCTTCTTTAATAAAATTAAATAGCAAGTTTTTAACTTTTCTTTGATAAAAATATAACTTTCATTTCTGCATCAACTATTAACATGATTTATTCTTCAATAAATCCCATAGTTGCTTAAAAATAATAATGAGAATAAAAGCAAACTCGAAAAATCAAGTCTTCTCTATTTTAGCAATAATTCATAGAAAATTGAACAGAAAAAATAAAAACACAAATCTTCTATATTAATATTTTCAAAGGATGAATAATTAAATATTAAGAGTAATAAAGTTAACATAATGAAGTTATAAAATTAGAAAAAAACAAGATATCGAGCAAACCGTAATTCTGGTTTTATCAAAACACAATCATTCTGCTCTTTAACTGAAAATAGATAGGTTAAGATACCGTATATTCCGGCGCGCACTTTATACATTATTACAAAAAATAACATCGGAATTTACGGGTGAGTGGTATACGCCGAATATAAAAAATTATAGATTAAAAAATTTCAATATAGAAAAATACTTTTATTTTAAAGAAATAACATACCTTTACCTATATACTTTATTGATTTTCGTTATTACCAAAATGTCTCGCCGCAGCCCAATTTCCATTTTCTTTCGCAAATTGAATTACTTTGCATTTAAATCCAGAGCTGTGTTTGCTTCGTTTCCATTTCTACTACTAAAAACTACACTGAATTCTTAAAGCTTACAATGTTTACTTTTTAAAGGCAGGGCATCAAATGGTGCGATTGGCAGAAGAGGAATTACGTTTGGTCTCCTGATTTGTGGTATGCTTTTGAGACATACACAATAGACAGCATTCCAGAAACCCTTCCCCCCCCCTTTACTTCTGGAATGTGGGGAACAACATTCTTGCACACACCTGCACTGCTGAATAAAACAATCTCTTTTCTCAGAATCACATTATTACTCTTTCAACTCTACCCTCACATACATGTCAAATTCAGTTCTTTTATTTTTGCAAAAGATAGGGAAAAAATCTTTTTACTTACGATCTTGAAAGACGAGATATTGCACATGTACAATCCAAATTTTTGTGCGTGTTATACGAAGAGTATATCTTAATATTTAAAAATAAGTATTAAAAATTACGGGTGCACATTATGCGCCGGAATATACGGTACATAACAGGGGTCTGACTAGATTTTTCTGAGAGGTACCTATTTTGCGTAAATTTAGACATAATTTGTGAAAAATTAAAAATTATATTAAAAAACCAACACAAAGATATGGCAAAAATGATTTATCGTTTCTTAAGGGATAAAAAAATAAAATTTTAAGAAAAAGTATTTTGTGAAACTACCGTTTTTCCTAAAGGAGAATTTGTGATACTACCATTTTTCCTAAAGTTGTATTTGTGAAGGTACCGTTAAACAGTATTAAATTCGGCCTGGGCAGACCCCTGCATACAATACGATAAGTCACATGACACCACTATCTCCACACAATAAGAACAGAGTACAGAATATCCAGAGTTTTGTTAGTCATATTTTTTGAGTCAGTGTCAATTTAGTCAATATTTTTGTCATAAAACTTTTGCAGTAAAACATTAAATATAGGTTTTTCTTCTTACTAACTATTGTAAGAAGTATGTTTCAGCACACTTAGTTGAAACTGTATCATTTCTAAAATAATGAAGAAACCCTTATTCTGTCAAGACTAACTTAGTCTATACAAATTCATGAAAGTATTGGGTTTGAATAAAAACAACTATGGTTTTGTTTTTTAGAGTAGAATGGAATAAAAGGTTAGTGTATTTCATTGTAATTTTTTATTTTTCAGTTTGTAAAAAGTACATTATAATTGACAATTTTAGTTAGAAACAATGAGTACTTAAGCTATAATATTGATTTTAAATTATATTATCATCATTACAATATTTTATCAGAGTTTGAGAGTTTTGATAAGTTTGTGTAAAGGAAAAAAAAAAATCCAATTTGAACTAAAAAATCAATTTTTTAATTACTTTTTAAAAAAAAATCAAGATTTTTGAAAATTTTGATTTAAACTAGATGCAGATGGAAACTAAAGTTTTAAAAACTACTTCAAAATGTTAATTTCGAAAAATATATATATAAATAGATAGATATACACAGCACATATATATAGGTAGATGTATAGGTAGACAGATATAGATCTGTCAACCTATATATATGTACATATGTTCGAATTTTTACATTCTTTACAACAAAACATTTGCTAGAACACCACATAAGAATGCTTTATATATTGTACAAAGCATTTAATAGCTGTACGCTTTAACATTCTCATGCTCATCTGTATTTAATAATTGTAGTTCTTATAAATAAAAACCTAATAATAAAATACTTTAAGGAATAATAATAGGGAAATATCTTCGAATAATAAACATCAAGGATGAATGGTAAAGAAATAAAGTGATCTAATCTTCTCCATCATCAACAGAGTTTAATAAGAAAATATTTGAAATATTTTTAAAAACTAAATGCTGAGCTTCTTTCACAGATTTTACAACATTTCTAAAAGCAATTGTGACGGCAAATTACTAAAATGGTAAATAACAAGAATTAACATGTTAAATCTTGAAAAAAAATTTCAGTGCTAAAGAACATTCAAACATAAAGAACAAAAAATTCACAAGAGAAAATTTCTGCATATATATACATACTAAATAACAAATATTATTCAACCTAAAGTTATTATTAGAAAAGCAGAATTTTATAATAAAAGATAAATTGCTCGTTCACCTTTGATCTTAATCTTTTCATTCAAGTTATTAATGTAGATTGTATTAATGTAATCGGCATTATTCTGATGCAACATTCTTGAATTCCTTTTTTTTTTTAAAAAACTAGACAGAAGTGACATAAAATTGATAGCCTACATAAAGTGAAGTACAATCTTTTAAATAAATAAAGAGATAAAGCTCTATTACTTCTGTTCGAAGGCACCGCGATGTTGGAAATGTTTCTAAATGCCTATTTCTGTGCAAACTGATCATCGCCAATAGTTGCTAAAAATTTAAAAAAAATAATGATTCCACTGATCCCACCAGAGAGTATTTTGGCATAAAGTTAAATTTCACAGATTTTCAATTTTTATATTATACTCTATTTTTAAAAGTAATTTAAAGATTAGCATATTTTTACATGAATATTCATATCAGGTAGGAAGGTATCTTATTTACTTCGCACTCGATAGGTAGGTACCTTATTTACACCACACAAGAGCTGCACAATGGGCTATTGGCGACGGTCTGGGAAACATCCCTGAGGATGATCCGAAGACATGCTCTCATAATTTTGATCATCTGCAGAGAGGATAGCTCCCCTGCTTTGGTAACCCAACCACATGTGTGTGAAGTCGAGCACTATACGGTAAAACAGTTAAACGAGGACTGATACCGTGTATTCTCGGCCCTTACGCAGGCAGATCAAAGTGGTCACCCTCCCTCTGACTGGCTCCTTTGCTTCGGTAACCCAATGACCTGCGTGCAAAGTCGAGCACTTTACGGTAGAACAGTTTAATGAGAACTGAAACCGTGTACTCTCGGTCCCTACGCAGGCTGATCAAAGTAGCCACCCCCTTTACTGACAGCAGCCAGTGATGCTTGACTTCGGTACTCTACTGTTCAGGAGCCGTGTCTTTACGATCAGAGCACTATGGGCTAGTGGCGACGGTTTGGGAAACATCACTGAGAATGATCTGAAGACATGTCAACATTTTGTGAAACCACTTCATCTATTTGGATACAGTGGCGTAGCGAAGGGTGGGCAAGGGGGGGGCATCATGCCCCGGGCGCTGCTCACAAAGGGGCGCCAAATGATCCGCAAAACAAAAAATTACTGGATAATTTCTTTTTATTATAATTGATTTCTGGAAAAT